GCTGAAACACTCTGTCTTTTTTCCTAATTAATCGGCACTAAAGATTGCTGCCCAATCTTTATGTTTAATTCAAAACATGGTCTAGTGTGGAAAGTTAAGGTCAAATCAGAAAGGTTCCTAGGAAAAGTTTAACTGCTTATTAATAGATGGTTGGACTAATATACCCATTTAACCAAAGCTTCTATAGCTTGAAAATAAATCACAAAAGGCTTTGAATGAAGCTACAATAACCACCTCCCAACATAAACATAAGAAAAAATTCTTTCTTCTCATGTATACTACTGTATCTTACCATGTAGTGGAGAATAAGTCATACAATTATGAAAAAAAGTGGAAATTTGCCACTATGTTAAGTGTAAAGGATATAGGGATTAATGGATCATAAGATAAACTTCAGTAAATTCTAGTGTGTGCTTGATATAAAGCTTAGTTAAAACTAATTGCATTGTCTTCACATTATTAAATGATATGTGTAGTAAGATCTACTGAATCATATAAATTTTTCAAGTAAAATAACAAAAACATTTTGAGATCTTGTTTCCACAAATTTAACATTTTAACAGCACATTTTTATGCTTAAAATAGCTATAGCATTCCCTGATCATGACATTTTGAATAATTCTATAATATTTGATCATCATAAAGGGTGAAAAAATTTGTTTGTACAAGTAGATGAAAATGATATTAAACATTTACTTTTATAATCAATATAATATTTATGTTGGTTAAAATGGTATTTAAAATATAACAACTCTACTTTCCTTTAATTAATTGATTTCAAGTTTTGTGGCTATAACCATTTATAGCCACATTTATTCAGCATAATGATAAAGCTTGAGTCGAAGAAGACGCATGCATTATTAGAATAGCAAATCTGTAGCTGAAATGGCTACTACCAAACAATAAATCAACAGCATATGGAATAGAATTGCCTGATATTTATGTTTCTAAAGCTTTGTGTTGTTATCTGGAAGTATACCCTCTAGAAATTCCCTCCATACAATGGGATCCACATTGAATTGTATGCTCAGGTCATTCTACAAGATGCCCTTAACAATTCTCTTAGGAGCACAAATGACCTGCCTGTGGGCTCTATTTACTTGAGGCCATACTACTTTGCCACTTCTGATAGGAGAGGTGATCAATATGTCACAGCATACCTACAAACCATTTATGGTACACTAGTTAGAGAGCTTGGCTCTTAGCCTGTTTCAATTTTCTTCTCGAATTTATTACCACCTGATGTAAGTACACATTTATTTGTTATCTGTTCAGGACATATCTCACTAAAACGTAGTATTCATAAACATAAGGTCTTTGTAATTTTTTCACCACTGTATTTCTAGTTCCTAGTAAATAATTGCCACGCTGTAAGCACTCAATGCATCTTCACTGGATGAATGACGAAGCTCTAAGTTCCATGAGGACTTCATTACTCTCCTCTTTGTCTTCGATACTTACTCCAGTGTTTAGCCCATGTTAGGTACTAGGGAGGGAAGAAGAGCCCCAGACATGTAGAGATTTTAGATTATTTCTTAAAGGCAACGAGAAGCCACTTAAACTTTGTATTTAGGAAAAAAAATTGTTACATTTCAATTTAGGAAATAAACTTCTTATTTTCTGTTTTTCTTAATAATAGCATCTCCATTGTCCTCCTCATTCAATCTTAAACTGTCAAAGTGATATAAGGCCCTTTCCCTTTTCCTTCATTTCTAATAAGTTTCCCAAACCTAACAATTTAATATCAGTGAAGTATATCTATCTAATAGTGTCCCATTTGAATTAGGGACCTGGTTACTCAAAGAATGGGCAAATGTAGTGGCTAAATGCATGTATCTGTCTTGAATAGATTCTGCATCTAAGTCACTATATGCCTTATAGCCAATAAATTGTGCAACATTTGTCATCCTCTTTATCTGAACAAATACTTTCTATAGTTTCCTTTTAAGATAATTTCTAGCTTTCGATTAGAAAAAATACAGTATAACTTTTTATTACTTTCAACGTTCATTCATATAAATTATTACATTTATTCTTCTTTTGAGATAAGTAAAATTCGATTCCATTTAAAAAATAACTTCAAACTCAAAGAAATTTACAATTATTAGAAAGAATTCACACATATCCTTCACCCAAATTTACTAATGGCCAAACGTGGTCACATTTACTTTATCATTCTCTCTATAGGTATTTCTAGATGGTCTCTGAATACATTACAATCCCTAAAACTTTCTTGCCCCCCCAAACAGTTCTCGCTCTCTCTTTCTATATATATATGATTACAGGGTTTCTCATAGTTTATAGTGCAATGATCAAATTTAGGACATTTAATATTGATATAACGTTAGTTGTAAATCACCATAAATAAAAACCCTATAGATTATATATCATAGTATTTTTCCAGTTGTTCCAATATTTTCCTTTACAGATATTTTTACCAGTTCATTATCCAATTCTGTACTACACATTACATTTACTAATCATGTGTTTTTAATCTCTTCTAGTCTAGAACAGTTTTTCATCTTTTCTTTGACTTACATCATAGTGGCATTTTTGAAAAGTATAGACAAAATATTTTGTAGAATTTCTAATAATTTCAGTTTGTGTTTGCCTCCTTGTGATTACATTAAATTATGAAAATTTTTGTCTGGAATACTTAATAAATGATGTTATGTACATTTCAGTGTATCACATCACCAGGCTCATGTTGTCATTTGGTCCACTTTGGGTAATTTTGACCTTGGTCACTTGGGTAAGGTTAACACCTAAAAATTACCACTACAGGTAATTTTTCATTCCCTTGAAACTAGGAATCTATGACAGATTACAGAGTGGCTTTAGTGTTTCTAATTTGTATGTATATTCTCCTTAAAATACAACTTGGCAGTTTCTCCCATCAAGACACGGCCTCTTATTACCCACGGCTGGGCTATGTGACATTCTTGGGCTAATATGTGTGTCAGCACAATCTTAAATAGTGCTTCATATTGCAGCTTACCCTCCCTGTTGCTTTTTGGAACCCTACAACTACCACTACTAACTGCTACTGGCCTGCTGAAAGATGACAGGCCAGGCTGAACAAAGATGAACTACTGCAGCCAAGACCCACTCCCAAGACTAATCAACTTGCAGGCCACCAGACAAGTCCACGAGACATTCCAGACCTCTAAACTAAACTGAACTAGCCAGGACAGAAAACCTTCCAGATAACCTGCAGAACACTGAGAAATGAAAGATATTTATTGTTTTTGGCTAATAATCTTTGATATTTTATGAACAACAGCTAATGCTTTCTAGGGAGGCACTTTATAATTATGTAAATATCTAGTTATGCATATAACTTTTACCAACCAGATTTATGATACTTGCCTAAATTAACTATTACTATAAAGGGTCCAAAATGTTATTATTCCTTTTTTTTTTTTTTTTAAAGAGATGAAGATTGTTAAGATGAGGGCTTACTTGTCTTCCAAGAACAAAAGACCAGTAAGTGGCCATGGCTGAGCCAGCATTCAAATGCCAATCTTTTACCTGCTAATCCACCGTTTTTCTCAGCATGCCACACAGAGGTGAGTTACCTCATGGCAGAACTGGAATTCACTAGAGGAGCAACAGAAATTTCAGTGTCCCTGGTTTTATGAGAGAGACCTTGTGTCCTCACACAGAAACACCTGTGGTGGGTGTTCCATGATTGATCCTGGGGTAAGATGGACAGTGTCGGGAGAAACATTAATATCGTTATTATCATAAAAATTTAAATGGTAATTGATTATGAAAAGATATAAAGATAATATCTCTAGAAATTGCATTTCCTAAGTATATCAAGAATGTCATTGACATACTAAAGTATAATTAATGGTATCATATGTTTATAAAACGTGGTTCTTAATATTTTTTAAGTAGCAGTCGTATCCTCTCCCAGTTCTGCCAAGTAAACTGTAAGACACGTGGAATGACACTGTGAGAGGAATAAAAGACCCTTGTCACCACTTCTTACAAATAAGAAGCCTGAGACTGAAGAAAGTCATTGGGCAAATTAAAAACCACCAATGAATAAATGACCAAGCAGGGACTCAGAAATTCCAGATTCCTAGGAGAGTGAGTTCTCTCTCCCAGATGGCAGTGGGCACTCGATCCCAAGTCTTCCAGAAGCTTATGCCAGGCGCTGTTCTAAAGTCCTTACGCGTATGCGTGTATGTTAACTCAGTACCCTGCGCGTTAACTTAGACATGCAGGCGTTCAGGTACTTCACAGTGTGTGTGTGTGTGTGTGTGTGTGTGTGTGTGTGTGTGTGTTTTAAATACCATACCTTCCTGCCAGAAAAGGAATTCAAAGCGCCTACTTTCTTTACTTCTTCCTAAAATATTGAAGAGCCCAAGAAAGCGCTCTGCGTTCTCACTTGTCCCCTTACAGTGCGTTCCGCGGCAGCAGCCACCGCCACGCAGAGCACCAGCATCTTGCCCTGGTGTAGAAACTGAAGTGGACAAGAGGCCAAACTCTGTCCCTTTTGCCGGAGGGCGCCAGAACCTCAAGTTTCCCGCAGCATCTCTCCACTGGAGAGCAGAGGGCAAGGGTGCGGTTGCCGGAGCTTTCCCCGAGGGCAGCGCCTGACCCTCCAGCTCCCTCTAGAAGGCTCGCTGGTACGTGGGGCCAACGGTGCATGCAAGCCAGATTTCGCGCTGTGGGGCTCCGAGGAAGCCAGGGGTCGCGAGGAACTCCCGGGAAGAGGCGCCGACCCCACGGTTGCTCCTGGGGGCCGTGCCTGCCAAGTATCGCGGGACTTGTGCACATCGCAGGAGCCACAGCTCCGGGAGCAGCTGGAGCGCGCTCGGTGCGCACCGCCCCAGCCCGGGGAGCAGCGGGAGCAGCGAGGGAGGGGGGCTGGGGGTGCTGGTTACGTAAATGATACTAGCCCAGTGAGAGGCCTCCAGGCTGGGGCTACGAGAGGAGGAGGGACCTCGCGAGGAGGAGGGGCTGGGAGGCAGCGGACTGGGGCGGGAGGGGGGCGGGGGCCGGGGGCGAAGTGACCAGGCGGCGGCGGCGGCTCTGCTGAGGTGACAATGTGCTAGGATCCCTCGCTCGGTCTCTAGCGCTTCCTCGGCCTGGGCGTCCGCTCTCGCCGCGCTCGCGGAACCCTCCGGCCGCTGCTGCGCTATGAGGGAGCCTCTCTGGGGCTGGCCGAGGCCGGAGCCGGCTTGCTCTGTTGGCTGGGAAGTGTGAAGAGAAGCGCGGGCGGGAGCTGCGTGCGGTGCTCGCGGGCCGGCGCGGGTTCCAGGTGAGCGCGGGCTCCGCGCGCCCGGCACTCGTCTCAGCCCCCGGCGCCTGCCGGGTTTGATCGGAGGCTGAATCCCGAGTGTGGATTGCCGTTCCCTCTTCGCGGGATCCTTGGCCGCAATAGCAGGTCTCCGTCTCTCTCTCGCTCCCTCTGTTTTCCTCATGATTGTCTGGGACAACCCCCTCTGGGCTGCCCGAGTGCCCGGACGGGCGCCACGAAGTCCCTCAGCGAGTGCCAGGGCGCTGAGTTGAGCGCCCCGGCTGGTCCCGGGGCAAGGGCAGGGGCACTGGCTGACCCAGCGAGCCGGCCTCCCGGGAGCTGAGAGCGCGCTCGCCCGGGGCTGCAGGTGCGGCGGGAGGAACTTTGCCGCCGCCTGCTCTCTGCTCCGCTCTTTGGGCGACCGAGCTGAGTTGGGGGACGCTGGCCCCCTGTGCGTTCTGGTGACGCTCGGGGTGGCGGCGGCTCGGCCTCCCCGCCCTGGCAACTTTCTCGGCAGCTGCGGGCAGCGGCAGGCTGCGGTGAGGGCGTTTCTCCTCGGCCGGCACTAGGCGCTCTCTGGGTCTTGGGTGTCTTCCTCGACGGTTACCTTCCTCTCCTTTTTGCCTTTTCTCCTTCGGAGCCGCTCACCTCTCATTCTCCTGGTGTCTCTGTCTCTTTCTTTCTAGCTCTTGGTTCCTTCACCTGCCACCCCCCATCCCCAGGTCGTAGGTCTCGTTGCTCTTTCAGGTCTTTTCTCCTGTGGTTGTGGGGTGTCTGTGTGTCCCTGTTATTCTGTCTCTCCTGCTTGTCTTTCCGTCTTGCACCATTCTCTCTCTTTCTCTGACTTTCTCTCATTCTCTTCTCTCTCTCTCGTTTTTTGCCTCTGACTGCCCATCTCTTCCACCCACTGCCATTCCCTGCCCCATCTTCCAAGGCGCCTTGGTCGGGGAGCATGTCCCAGGCCACTGTCTGGGCCCCTGCAGGTGCACAGACCTCCTGCTTGTGGCTGGCGGAGATGGAAGGAGTCTGCCCTTGTCCGGGCTGTCCTGGAACTGAGTGAGGGGAGCAAGAGGCAGAGCAGAGAGCGCGGTGCCAGCCTCCCCTCCTAGGTCCGAGGGTGCTGCGCTGCTGCGAGCCAGACAGAGCACACAAGCTGCTGGGCTGTGTAGCCAAAGCTGCCGGAGCCCCTCCCCGTACCCAGTTCTTTGACTATGGTTAGTTGAATTTTCAGGTGGAGAGTCACATCGTCAGCCTTTGCAGGCAGCCGCAGAAGAGACCGTAGGCGAGCAAGCATGGACGCTGAGGGGTTCAGGGAAACCTAACCTCAAATGGGTGGGAGCATTCGTCAGGCAAAAGCTACTGCCAGCAGAAGCGCTTTGGGGACCTAGAAGGCTTGCCTGCTTTAAATTGCCATCCACTCGGTCCTTAGGAGAATGGTTTCCTTGGGAGAGAGCATGGTCACTCTTGCTAGAAACAGCTTAGAGGTTTTGTTTGGAGGGACTAAAGACACTTGACGTCCTAAGCCTTCCTGGAATTTCTAGTTTCCTTGGGGTCCCCAGATTTTAAGCTTTATGTGAAAGCTGCCTTTGCACCCCCCCCTCCCCGCTTCTCATGTGTGTGATGGTGCGCGCGCGTTCATGCCCTCTAGTGTTAAAGGAAACCTGCTGGTTTGAGAATATTGAAAAGTAAGGTCTTGCTATTGGTTATTTACTTTGGACCTCTCACCTTCCGGGAGCATTTTTTAGCCACTTCCTTTCCCTCAATTACTTTTGCATTGCATTACTAATATCTCCCTTGCCCCTGATCTCTACAAATTCCTCCTTTCCTGCAGAACTAGAACCTTAATGTTGAAAGAGGGTCCGTCTGATTTTAGAATTGGATAGTTCTGGAACATTTTCATAGCCCAAAGCAGACTCAGACCAGAAAACAAAACGTGCATTTCTCTGCACTGTTAGCCACAAATCAGGATTTCACATCTCTTTCTACTTCTCCTGTCCAACTTCAACGCCCTTTAGAATTTGCCTGGCTGCTGTTGCTTGTTTAAATAAATGCTTTTAATTCCCCATTTCTGTGATGCTCCTTCCATTAAGGAGGGACACTGTGTCTCAGAATCCGTTTTGGAGAGGAAGGAATGAAAGCTTTTCCAAAGGAATTATAGGGGTCTGCTGGCATAGAATTGGGTCAGAAAGTCTGCAGTGGGGCCCGACCTTGTCTCAGGTGCAGACCTTGGGCAGTGTGGGAAAACTCATAAGTGCTTACTAAAAACTTGATGGTTGATTGGTATTTGGCTATATGGGCTTCCAAGTTACCCAGCTATGCTAATAAGCCTACATTCCACAAGTTGAATTCTACCTCCCTCTTTTTCTATTTCTATTCTATTCATTTAGTCTTTTATGAATGGGAATTGAGGACTAGCAGAAGGAATATTGAAACAGGAGTATTCTTCAACCCGCTCATCTCACTGCTTGAATTTGCCCCTCCCTGCAAGTCTTAAGCTTGGCTGGTATTCTTCAACAATCATTGCAGAATTGAAGAAATTAGTTCACGAGTTCTGAAAGATGGCATTCTCAGTTTTCTACCTGAAAGTAAACTGAGACATGACATTTTGGGGTAAATAGTTTCACATGGTGGTTTTTAACACGTGAAAAGTTCTAAAGAGAAATATCAGCCTAAAGTATTTGAGGCTATAAATTGATTTGTAATCTGACTCACTTATCCTAAATAATTTACAGATTCATGTACTGCTTCATATACAAGGGGTGTGATCTACATGCATATGAGAATTTGCCAATGTACCTGGAAACATAATGCCTCCTGAATCAAAGTACTAGCCGGAATCCATGGGGTACAATATTGCTGTTTTAGTGATAGGCTAGTCACTTCTTAAAATAGTTAATTTACCATGAGTATTGTTCAGGGACGTGTTCCAGGCATTTTTTCTTTCAAAATATCATTTGTAAGCATTTGATACTTTAGCCAATTTTTGTATTTAAAAATAGCAAAGACATAGTGAAGGTATTCTAACATTGTTTGAGATGCCTGCTAGTATTTTTACAGATTTATACATGTAGCTTAATTTGCATTTATTTCAGATTAAACATTTATGTCAGAGTGAAATAAGTTTCCATTATGTCAACTTCAGTTTCAGAAGTGGTAGTTGTAACAGGAATATTTGCATGTTACTGAGATTGTGGAGTTTATGGAAACTGGCACTTTAGGGAGAGGGTGACAGAACAAGCAATTAATGGATACTTTTTTCTAATTGGACAAATGAGAGGAATACTGGTGTTTTGAACAACAAGAACCATAAATAAAGAGAATAAGGCATAAATATAATTAAGCCTTAACCATGTAAAACAAATAACAGTGCTACATATCTCTGATCGGTATTCATTGTGCTTTATGAAACTAGACAGTTCTCGTAGCTGTGACCTTTAATTAGTTTTTCTTATTAGACATCACATTCTCAAGTGATACCTCTTGCAACAAACACATTCTTGACTGTGACTTTTAATACATCACCTTTTTTGGGTTTGTGTCCCTATGAGAAGGAACATGTAAATCTTAAATCTAATAAGATCTAACAAGATCACCCCTTTGATGTCTGAGTGACCATATGCTTTATTATCAAAGGATTTAAACTGGGCTTTGGTTCTAAATCCTTTCTTCTGCTCTTGTCATCGGAATAAACACACGTGAAACATCAAATCAAGATCTACATCTACGTATATACCCATAGTGGCTCTGACAACCTATTTTATGTTTTTTTTTCTGGGAAATGCACCCCCAGCCAACCAACCACACACACCCAGAGCATATGTTTGAAAACATAAATCACATTTAAAGATCTGAAACTGTCTGCTTTGATAAATCATTCATCATTTTAGAAGATTAGTCTGCTATATATAAGTTCTATCTTAAGACACTTTGAGAACTTCTGCCATTCAATTATAGGCATACATGTTTTTGAAGAGTCTTAAGTTTTCATTGTGAAATTTAGTACTTAAAGAATTCAAGGAAATTTATAAAAATAAATACATGTGTTAATTCAATATTAGTTGGTCATCCATTTAAAGCATTATAAGCAATTATAAGCAATTTTTGAGCAGGAGTATAAGCCAACTTGTTTCCCCTTGATTCAGATTTAGACCTATGTCTTTGTTTTCAATGTAGTACACTTACAGTAATATATAATTAATTGATCTTAGCTTGATTACCAAGAAATAATTATAGGTGGCAAAAGACTTCTGTGTGATTCTGATTGTGGAATGCTCTCATGTCTCTAAATTTATTTTTTTGCTATTCATTTTCCAAGTTTTTTTTCTTTCTGTGTCTTTAGACCTATTAATTTACTGAAATTCTTAATTTTCAAAAGTTATTACTACAGATCGTTAAGAGATTGATGGGGCTTAACATTTAAATTGTAAGTTAAAGTAGGAAGACAATGGTTTTCTTTTAAGGGCCCAGCATTCAGATGTCAACGTAGGTGTCAGTTCTCAGGAAACACCCAAGGTTAATTCATCCAAGATAGTTTGAGAGAGATTAGGGAGAGGAGTAACAGTTACTTTCAGAGGTTTGAAGATATTTGCGATCCTATTGTATGTTATGTTAGAAAATTAAAAAGTGTCTATATTAAATACTCAAGACTTATTTTATTTATTTTTAGACATGCTTATTGTTAAGATAGATGTGAGCTGTCCCAGATGTATCATATCAGAGTTTTAACATGATGGGGAATTAATTGAGACTGTGTTTCATATATTACATTACATTTAATAGTCACTTAAATCTTATTTAAGCCCTTGTTGAACATTATAGGAAAAGTGTGATTAAACTTCTGTTGGCACTTTTGTGAACATAATCTATGTAGTGAGTAGCTATTGTAAACAGAAAGAAGAATTTAAAGCTCAGACTGCTGAATCAAGATAGTAGTAAACGTCAACTTAGACTCTTGCCTTAAATTAATTGCGTTGATATTATAAGCAGCACATCTTTTTGTTAATAAAATGGATTTTGACATATGAGGATGATTATGTAGGTTCTTTTAGATCAAAAGCATAATAATTGACTTAATTTTCTCTTGAGTTTTTTATTACATAATTAGTTTCAGATAGAGAGGGTCAGATTTATATGACTGTCAAGACCCT